AACGAGCTGTCCCGTCGATTCCTCGGTCGAGAGTTCGCCTCACCCAGACTACAGCCTCGCCCGCCGACGCATCGATCCCTCGATTTGTTCCATTAATTTTCAGCATGTTGCGACAGTCTCGATTCGAAGCGGTGGGACCTTTCATTAGATTGTCGGATCGTCTCGAGAATATGAATTCTGGCAGAGAAGTGCCGCGGCGAGCGCTCCGAGAGTCCTCCACCCACGGTCTGGGTTCGTTCCACCGAGAATCTGTATCAGAACTCGGTAATAGTTTCGACCGGAAGCGTGGAAACCCCTTCTCGAACAACAATCATTATGGCAGCAACAAGGCTCCGAATCCAGCGCTTAATTTGTCGTCCCCTCGGTCCGTTGCAGTCTTCGGACGGAATCACAGGGAGGACTATTAGATTTGCAGTAAAGCCAGACTGGGCCAATCATTCTCCAAGACCTTGACAAGGCCATTGCTCCAGTCGGAACGGGCCAAAGCTTTCCCTAAATTGCGTCGGTTTCTTCCACTTCGTCAGCTGATGGGCTTTGGCAGCGGATTGGCCGCCCCGTCGACCGGGCAGGGCGCCCGGGCCGCCGCACCAACGGCGAGCATAGGTGGGTGAAGGTACAAACTGAGGGGGGACCGCCGCGCCGGTCGTCGGACCCTGCCCGGCCCGCTGGCGAGCGACTTTGCTGGTCGACGAACCGACGGACGGGCTTGGCCGCTGGCAATGTTCCAAGAAGCGAAGTATTTTACAAAGAGAAGCTTGTGACATGAATACGAGCACAAATTCCCTCCATACTTCCGAAATGCTGTCGAGCTGACCACAGTCCCGCGAATGAGTGTAGTACGGAGTGTGTATTCTGAGATGAGTTGAGGGGATAGCGATCCACAATCCCTTAATTCTTGCCCAATGTCTTCTCCCCAGGAAGAGTTCAGACAGAGTACAAGTAGTTTGAGGACTGTACAACGGATGGCAGAGTGGGCGGGTGGCCGCTTGGTCGGTCGTGTTTTTGTGCCCAGGCTCCCATTTCCGTGTATCATTCGGATGATAGATGGTCAGTTCGGGTTGGTCTAGAAGGACAACACACTTGAATTCTTCGATGGAAAACATGGGTGTCCTCCATCGTGGGGTGCGATACATTATTCTACATACGAGCAAGAAGGGACATCGCCGTCTCGAGGTGTCTCGTGTTTGTGTCCTTCTCGGCAGAGGGATCCTGGTTTCAGGTGGATACCAAGCCGCGCCCTTTAGGGGTCGACAAGAATGAGATTCGGCCTCATGCTCGGCTAGCGAAGTGCTTCTCTTCTTTTGTCGCTGAGAGACGGGACTCAGATCTGAATCTGATTGCAAGAGTGGTTTCCTGGAAATCAGGGATTGTAGATCACGGAATTCAGAAAGCCACTCCATGATGAAAAGGATCCCGAACGATTCGCGGTAAGTCCTCCACGACGAAAGTACTTGGTAAGCACTTCCCTCTAGCTCTATGACCACTGCCGACTTCGGTGGACCTCATACCTCGAACCGCACGCGGGTCACGTCGCTCGATCACAACATGGAGACTTCTTGATTCGTCGTCCATCGAGTGTTGTGAGAAGTCGAGTGTTGAGCATTCTTCCTTTCGCTATTGATTGGAGCGAGAGTCCAGGTGAACAAGAGAAACTCAAACACTCGACCGTGTAGAGCTGCACAGTCAGCTGCTTGAACTAAGGCCGTGGAAGCTCATTTCTAACTTTCCGATTCTATGGGGAATTCCACCCCTCCGGGTCGAATTGTAGACCTTGCCTCTCCGACAGAGTCGACTCTCACTCACCCAGTCAGTCTCCTTAAGTGGCCTTTCGGAAAATCGACTAGATTCGGGGAAGATTAGCGCGCGGACGAGGACGTCGATTTGTACCAGTTGGTATTCGTCACCCAAGACGGAGACATCGCAGAGGGCGGCATGAAACTCGAGAATTCGCGGAAAGACATGAGGAGTCTTTCCTTGAAGGAACATTCGAGACGAGTTCCCACATCTCCCGATTAATTAAGAATTAGCATTGCGGAAAAAATTCCAAAGGATGATTGTGCCGTGATGCTGCAGCTGGAGATGATGTGATTTGTTCCTCGCCAGCGGGCGGGAGATACCGTCCGTCGGCCTTGAGGGGGGAAGCTCCCAACATCCGAATGAAGCAACATCATAGAGATATCAACGACTGTACATGACTTTTATTGGAATCCCATTAATTGATTAATTATTATCTGATCGAAAAATTCCGGAATTCCTTCCAAGCTGACGCGCGACTCCCGGAGGAACTTGTCAAACACGCACACTCTCATCGATCTCAGGATACAGTACATTGTGGTCATACATAACTCGCGGTGACAGCAGAATATAAAGCGCATTCCGTTACATATCCTAAGTCGCCCCGCCTCACAGGCGTAATCGGTATATACAACGTACAGGACATTCATCAGCGCTGATAGGGAGTCGATCTCTCATTCAAATCTCAGATGAAATACTCGAAGCTCATGTGGGATGGTGGGCTTTCGATCGATAATTTCCTTGGTCGTGGTCTCGGTCTCGTGGAACTTACCCTCTCGCACCGATTCATCGTTCAATACCATCTTCCAGGAAGAGCACCACCCGGGACGAGGACCGTAAAGCCGCCATACGCGTGTGATTCCGCTCGCGGTGCTGAGAGTAATCAAAGATCTACTTTACATTTCAATTCGTCGTCTCCGACGGACGTCCCGGGGAATCTGAGGTATTCGCGAAGAATTCGGCCAATCGTCGAATTCTCCGAATGTCTGACTGCAGGAGCAGCCCACCATCCGGAAAAGATCCACGTCCTGACTCTCGGAGGATGCGGGTAGATCACCGCTCAGGCTACGATTTGGGAACGGAAGAAATTCGTGTCTGGACGTCGCTCGAGATCAGGAGAGTGAGGACGTCGAGAACTCGACACCTCATACCAGAGACAAGAGAGATGAGCTGCTTGTATCATTGAGCGCCAGGGGAATCGCGGAGGGAAAGGCAGGGAAGCAATTCAGTGCGATCAATGCTTCCTGAGGTCAAGTACTTTCTTCCAAGTTGTGCGTACTGAATTCCGCGTCGCAGGGAGTCAATGAACTCGAAACCTAATCGAAGTCATCTGTTGGCCCCATCCTTACAGACGAGTACACATTATTTGCTTGAAAATACGGACCGCGCATTGGGTAGGATGTCCCACTTGGTGCTCGATGAGCTCGACCGTGGGTCGCGCGATCCATTTATTTCGAAACGACAAGTTTTATAGAGCGTTTGAGAAGAAGTCATCAAAGAGGAGGTCAGCAGAAACCCCCGCCCCTTCACCGCCGCCATCAGATCGAGGACTATTTTGGAGTTCGGAATGGCTCAACTGCCGAATGACATTGCGACCGTCTGGATCGGACGACGCAAGTGTACAGCTCGCCGCCGTTAATGAGCGGTCATTTGGAGATGCTCGGAGGGCTATTTTTCCGAATCGAAGCGAATCATTTCCCGCGCTGCTTCTCCAGGATCCCTTCCGTTTCTTTATTCGTCGTTTCATTAAGTTGTCCAGCCAGAGACTGTTCAAGGAGTCTCAATGTGCGTGAAGAGCGTTCCTGCTCTCTTACTCATACCGGAGGCCCTAAATGCGGGATGAGGATAATTCCCGAGACTCCGGTGGCCCTTCATGACCGAGACGTTCGCCCCTCAGGATGACCGTTACCGGAAGCAGCACTCAAATCACATCGCTGCCCGTAAGAGCTCCATGGAATGACGGTATTCCTCGCCTCGCGGAGATCACTGTGTACAGAAGAGCGTATATGCGGCGGTGCCGAAGTCCGAAGGTGACTGCCTCAGGATACCTAGTTTCCCTCCATCCCGAGCTTCTTACGCAGCATCTGCGCCAATGGTTTGCATTTGTTCCCGGCCATTATTACCTGCTGGTTCTTCTTTGGATACATCCGTATTTACATTCATATAGGCATATTCTGTTTGCGTCTCTCACAGATCGTAGTCGGTAGTCGTTTCTTGTGGCCGTAGGTGAGCCCGGAGGTGAAAACGGAGCCGATTGTCACGGCTTCATCACCTTGAAAAAGTATTGAATTCTCTCATTTTTCCCCTCTCCAAGAGAATCTCATATCCTGCCTCGCGCTCGGTCCTCCCTCTTATTACTGTACGTCGTCCTTTCGCATTGTCTTTGCAATGAGCTCGCTCCAAGGATTCCTCTCGACATCGCTCTAAAAGCTGTGTCCCGTCGCTGTCGAATAGTATCCGATCGGGCTCCGCAATCCAGCACCGCTCGGAGCAGGCATCCCCTCATCCAATCGTTTCATTTCAGCCGTCCTTGACTAATTGCGTAAGACTCCGGAATCTGTCTCATTGCGATTCCGAATCAGTGACCCCGGAGAATCACCGGGGCGATCCCTGATTGCTCCTATTTGAATTTCTCTGTTGATCCTCAGAATGAAGCGCCGACGTTCGAGTCAACGACAACGTTCGAAAACGGCGGGAGCTTCTGCGCAGCATGCGCCACAGAAGTCCGATTTCTGTCTCGACAGGAGTCAGACTCTGACTTCTGACTCGTCAGCGGCGGCTCTTGTGTTGAAGATGTTCAGAGTTTCTCCCCTTGCGAGGTGCGAAGACTTTCTGAGTGAGAACTCGAGGGATAGACGGCGCGAGTTTCGAGAGGCAGAGGGACCCGAAGTCGGTGAGCGGCGACTTGAACGTGGTTGGAATCGTCGATTATTATAGAAGTCCGCTCACTTCGATCCGCAGTAGCTGCAGTAAAGGAAGCAGCAGTTGGCAACGGACGCAGACACAGAGTAGGAACGCAGGTGGGTCGGTGACTTGGCGAAGCCTTTAGCTGAACAAGCTGCTGTGCTGCCAAGTCGATCCGGAGAGAGCAGCTGCCGCGGCTCCCGCCGTACTGCTGTGGTCTATCGAAGGGACTGTCTGTCTGCCTGCCTGCTTCGGTGAGTTGGTCCTGGCGTTCATCCATCCGTTTGATCGTCTGAGTACATTCAAAGATGGGCCACGGTCAGTTTGGCAACTTGTTCCTGTCGCAGTTTGTTCTCCAGCAGTGCGTAGGGTAACGACGCCGCCAGCAACATGAACGACAGTATCAACACCGAAAACGAGAAACAAAGCGTATCCGAGGCGATGAACGCAGCCGATAGTCCCGCGAAGTTGGCCATGAACAGCACGGCGAACGGGGGTTCCCACTTCCAATGGAAGGCACCGCTTATGTAAGCTGCAACGAAATTCAATGTTAGTGACGCTCTATTGAATCATCGTGTCGTTGTCCTCGCTTAAACTAAACATTGTTCGTCATGCAGCGAAACTCACTTATCATAAGGGTTTCCCAAACACCCGAACAGAAGCCCCATAGGCTCGAGACGATGTAGAACAGCGAGCTGCCGGCCAAGTCGCTCTGGGGACTCCAAGAAGACATCAAAAGAAGCATTAACGCGTTCAGGAGCAACGTCGTGAATACGAGAACGGGTCGATTGATTTCGTTCGACCAGGACAGAAGAACTAACGATGTGACCAAGTGGAACACGGCCGCGAGGAGAACGAGGAACGATAGCGAGTACAGCGACGGCGTGCACGAAATGTACAGCTGAAAGAAGAAAAAACTATTTTCACCCCGGTGATCTCTCCAATTGATTTTTTTGTTTCCTAATAACTGATTTATTATGTGCCCTCCAACATGAGTCTTCGCTCATCGCTCGCGAGAGACTCTGGGTCCGTGGCGCGATCGCGATGAAATTCAAAATCCATGTATACGAAGACCGGACATGCTGGGTATCGAGGGAGCCGACGCCTCCCGGAATTCTTCCCTCCAGCTCGGAGGTTGATTATTATTATCTGAGCGTGTCCGAGAGAACTGAAAACCGGAGCTCGCGTGAACAGAGCGTGAGGTTTCTCGCTTCCGCCCCTCTTGTTTGCGATGTCTGAAGTTCATGTGAGAGTTTGTAGTTCCTCTACACGAGGGATTATTCCAGCGGGAAGAAACTCTGGAGGCACGTATCAGCCCGACGGCAACTCCGGCGTCGTCGTGTTTGCTCGAATCACCCCGAGACGTGTTTGTCGACCGCGCCATAATCTTTTATTCAGCCACTGACGATGGAAACCGAAGCCATCGACATGGAGACGTGTCGCAGCGATGGATGCCCAACCAAGCTTCCGTCCTCTGTCTCCGTCTTATTGCTGATGGCCGCACGAACGCAGTGAGAACGGAGAGTGGACCGAGCCGTCGACCAAACGAAAGAAAAGGCAGCGGCCCACTTACCAGACGACGTGACCGCTTCAGCGATGGGCTTCTGGCCGCACACTGCATGCTTGTATCGACCGGGTCTCGCTCCACTTTCACTTTGCGGTCGTCGAAGCCATCTCCTGCTCTCTACTCATGTATTGAGTGGCGCCCGGACATGATCGCCTTGTTTAACGTTGACTCACTGCTCTCTCCGCGAAGTCGTCTCCGACGAGGAACTTCGGGGGGCCTGGACGTTGATGATACGCGAGCCAAGGCGAATGACATACACGACACGTATCTTTCTCAGTCGCGCGATTCTAGGCATGTGTTGAAGAGGGCTGCTGAATTGACTGTCTATGCTGAACCATACGCAGGGAATGCGGATATCAGCGTACTCGTGATGTCTGCGACGGAATGCACCTGCAGCTTGAGCTCCCATCAGCTCACAGGGGCCCGAGCGAGTTCCCGAGGGATTGTTTACTCACTGTGTAACGGAATTAATGTGGGTTTAAACAGGGGAGGGGACCCGTGCGGAGCTCCATCCCCCTCCCGCGGCTCTGAGAAAAGACTAATCCTGTAAAGCGTCGACTGATTCAGACAGTCAGCAAGTGAAAAACAAGCGGACGAGATCGAGAGAGCGCGGTCAGACTGCCAGCTTGAGAAGGAATTAAGAGGTTTCTTCGCTCCCGCATCGCTCGAGTCGAGGACCTCCAGACAGTCATTTCGAATCGTGGAACGCTGACATGATTCGTGAACACACGGACTCCCGCCGGATTCCGATGCTCGCAACTAGCCCTGAGCTTGTTCTTCATCCGATCGATACAGTCGATTGACGCTCAGGTACTCCTTCGGAAAACTCGAAGGACAAGAATAACTCACTCGAATCCGAATCAGACCGATAGGGACGTCGATCGATATCGTTCGAAGGAGAATTATTTCCCGCGTGACATTCAGGAGGTTCTCGCGCATCTCGAGACCCCCAGCGATACATCGAAACGGCTGATGGAGCACAGAAAATAACGTGGCGTGACCTCGCTTTAGCAAACCGTGTTCTGTCCTATAAAATTCAAGCGAAGCTCCTGGAATTGGTCGAGGCGCCGAGCGACAGGCGACCTTTTCGGGTAGGGTCCAAATGTTCACGACGCGGTGCGGATTCCTCAGTAGGCCTGCATTCCGCGGCAGCCCGCCGCATGGGACGAAACCGTGCGGTATCTTCTGCTTGTCCAGGGGAGTCACCGGCGGGGAAGTGAGAATACCTCTGTATCGCGCTGCTCGTGATGATACGCACCTGAGTGAAATCAGCGTTCAGAACGCCTTGTTGTAGTCCGGAGAAAAACGCCATTGGAATTAAAAGGTGTAATCGGGGATCTGCAATAGCTCTGCCGACAGCTCGGAGGCACCGACCGCAAACAGCTTGTTCGAGCGGGTCTTGATATTCGAACATCTGGAAAGAAATGAATCCCTGTGATTATGAAGATTCTGTATTATTATTTATCTTACTTATTACGAGGATGACGTACTAAACATGAATGGTTCCGTCTAACGCCATGGAATCTACTCAGCTTCCGAGGGATCGGACGGTCTTCGGATCACGCGGAGAGCTTGATCCGATTCGGAAGACGAAGTTGCAACGCTCAGAAAATGATCATGACATGTCAGAACATGACGAGCTCAGGAAGCGAGCGCACGATAATGGCCTTTTTCTCTTTTCTAGCCAGTCGGTGGAACAGGCCGGCGCATCGCTAATACGAATCGCGTGCCCCTGCGACATCGCACCACGCAGAGAGGAGACGCAGGAGCGAAAAAGACAGGAACGGGACGGGTGTCGTTCCGTCTTTCGCGAGAGACGGGGCATCTCTTTTATGGTGTTTGTCCCCCTGCCCATCCGCAAGACCCACCTTTGTTCCCTGTGCAGAATCCGACTGCAACCCTTGGCATGGCGAATGGAACCCACCTGGCTCGCTTTGAAAAGCGGGGTCCTTTCTCTTTTCCGGCTCGTTTTTCCCTCCTTTTCGCGTCCCTCGAATTCCCATTTTCTTACCCTGGCTGTCCCGCTTCACCATTTTCTTTCCGAACCGAGTTCCCTACCCTATTCGGTTTTTTTTTTCGACTCTAGCGGGTGCCAAGCCGGCGGCCCTCCGCCCTCCATTCTTTCTCCTCCACGAAGAACAGGAGAATCAGAACGAGCTCGCTAGCTGCTCGCGAACGGTTATACGCGAGTCGATTTCCCTTACAGCCGTTGCTGCTAACTTTCCTTCTCAACTCAATTAGCTTTGAGTGGTTGGCTAGGCCCGACTACGACGTCTTCGCTCGTTGCTGCCGCTGCTACTCAAACCACTGACGAAAGACTACCGCCCAGTGCTCGTGTCGAAGGCGCGGATCCGCAACGAACCTCAACCCGCATCTGACAATTAGGGAGCTCCGATCGGAAGGACGCTGCGCGGGAGAGACACAGCCGGAGTGATTAGAACGGTCGTGTCGGGAGCGTGAAGCAGCGGCGGCGCAGCGTGCATGAGTACGTGCAGTTTCCTTGAGAGAGATTCTGCCCATTTTTGTCGTCCGGCGTTCCATTCAGCGAGGAGCCTCGAAAATCCTGAAAGTATTATAGCGGTCGGAGCGTTTTTTCCAGACGACCCGAACACCGCCCACTTCGAACAGCTGCTATGCATGAGGGAGACCTCCGAGAAAACGACGTTGGCAATAAGTATGTATGCGCAAAATTGAAAATTTCCCACACCCATCGTCAGCTATTCATCATATTTTGGCCACGATCTCAGCCGTCCGTGTTTTGTCGCTCATCTGTCTAGCCGCTCGCCGAGATCGGTTCGGGATGCGGATTCCGGCCGATTGCTCGTTGTCATTCTACCCGGAGAAGAGATCGATTTCGGTTAAATTTTGCTCACATACATATCTTCAATTGGCTCCCTCTCCTTTCCCCGGATAGGATCCCGGACGCCGACTCAGGAGATGCGCGACTCGCCGACCAGCGAGGCAAGAGGCAGGTCGGTTGGCAAACGCGGCGGACAAGGCGACCGTAGCGTGCTGCTTTATCTCCGTTATTAAGCTCCCTTGGCGTTCAGTTCCTTTTTATGCAAACTCTGTGCAAACCATGACCGTGCGCATCCATGGCGAGTCTTCAAGGACGACACACTCGCTCACTAACAACGGCGCGGTGCACGGAAGGAGAATGTTGACAGCATCAGGAACAGCGCCGCCGCCGACAACAACAACAAGAGAGATTGTCGACAACAAATTTTCAACCAACTCTAGTAGTGTGCCAAAGTTAAGCCTGACTGGTTGCTGAACGGCGGTCCGTCGCGACAGCATCCCGCTCCAACAGGATATGACGCTGTTCATCAGTGGCGCCGGAAAGCGACGACTGGCAAGCGAAAATGGGAACAACGGGAAGCGAGCAATCATGGCGCCGCTCGGCTACTGGCGTCGGGGAACTTGTCGCTCTTCCCCCTGAGGACCCGTCGTCGTAAGGTTCCGCTAGCTTTGTTGCGTCGCCGATGTCGTCGTCATCGTCTCCGATGCTACGGAATCCTCGGACGACTCCAAGGACGATATGCTCGTTGAGTCACATGACGATCGTTCATTATCGTTGAGGTAAGCAGTTCCAGACATCCCGTCGTCGGCGTGGCGGAGCGATCGTTGTCGATAGTCGCGGGAGACGGTCGGCGGCAATGTCGTCGGCCGAACAGCGAGTCGGCTAAAAGTGTCGAGCCGATGTTATTGACGATTGTGTTCGCAATCAACGACAAAGTCCACGACCTGGGTTTTTTCCAACCTCGTGAGCACCGATGGGTTGCTTTTGCTTTCGGCGAACGTCCGAACGTCAGCCGATGGGAGCATGGTCGAGAAAAATTCGGCTGCGAGAATTTCCTGAGAAGGAGGATCTCCCAGAAGAACAAGGAGCAGCACGTTTTCCGGAGCCATTCGGCCGGAGGGCCAGAGCGGAAGATACTCATCGTACGCGGTCTTCCTCTGAGCTCACAAACTCATTCGGGATCACGGATCCAATATAATATGTGGAGATGCCGTATAGAGGAAAGCGATCCGATCGATCTCTTTCTTTTGACGGAAGTCGTATCTACGGCATTTTTCTCCCTCGAAGGGATCGAGAGTTTGTTGCGCGCAACACGATCCCGTCTCACTCTCGATGGAAATCGTGTAATCCACTCGAGGCATCTCTCCTCAGAATCTCTCGTGTCCACATGCCCAACTCGATTTGCCGAGTGAAGTGTAGGACAACATCCTATTCGAGCTATCCATCGTTCGATCGGATCGAGTTTGGGCCTCGCGAGCGAAATACGAGACCGAGGGCAAAGCACTTGCGGCTTGCTCGTTGCTTGTTGCCGCGCTTTTCCAGTTGTCAAACATCACAGCAACACCCTCGCTCGCACGCCTTTTCGACGAAAAGCGAGCTGTCGAATCGACGAAGAACCCGGTGGTTCTGTCCCGGCCGTCGGTGTTTCCCGAGCGTTTTCGTTTCGAACGCGGTTATTCCCGTGCTTTTTGTCCTGGCTCTCCGTCGATACGGAGAATTTCTCGCTCATTTACGATGAAGCCGACTTAGAGTATGGAGCTCGAGAGGCGAGTTCTGAAACGACCAGATGCGACATTCTGAGGCGAAAAAACACATCATCAACAACAACCGGACGGGGGTGGAGGAGCGCTGCCAGTCAGAGTCTCTTACCAAGCGAGTTCTGTTTGGGCTGTGGGAGGAAGCGCTCTCTGGAACGCTACCGTCGTCGGTGCCAAACTCACAAAGCGATGCTGCCTGGGAGCACCTAGCCGACGGTGGCGAGGGCTTGAGCCGTGTCGTCGAGAAAAAGTTCGCACGCGCAGAACTAGCGCGCAATCGTTGATCCTCGACGACGATTTCAGAACGCTCGACGAATTCGCAACTTCCGAATCGGAGGCGACGAGGACGATGAGCACCAGAACGGAGCGTCAGCAGAAATAGAATCTCTTGCGGGAGCGCAACTATTCCGACCAGTCGAGTTCCGGTACGAGAGTCTCGGTCTCGTCTAGCCTTGCCCGTTCCTCTTTGGAGCCAATCTCTCTCACAAGTCAATGGTCCTCGATATCATGGAACAGGGGGCTTCCACTGCTCTTTGTTTCAGCAGGAAGTACTCGGGGCAGCTCCTTTCAGGTTTTGTCGTGAGGTTGCACTTTTATTCCTCTCCCTCGACTCCTTCGATTGTCTGTTCGATCAATCCCCGAAGAGACCGGGTCCGTCGTTTCTTCTGTCCGAAACGCCGAGACACCAGCTTCAGGGGCGGTCGTCGGATTGCTTCCGTAGCTCTGCTAGCAGAAATTCCTACTTGACGAAGCGGGTAATATCTATTCGGACACAGATCAACTCCGAATGGTCTGAACGAATTCACGACGAGAGCAGAGTCTTCCCGGCTCCTTCTCGGTCGCTTCGCAATCAGGTCCTCTTTTCATCGTTTCGAACCGATTTCCCTCGGAATCCGCATCTCTGATCACTCGCGGTCAGGTCCCGCGCGGCAGCTTGCCGCTCCTACTCCCGCTTGTTCGGGAAGACTTTCACAGATGGGAGAGATCGAGATGGGGTACCGGCGTCGCTCGCCGTGGAATCAGATTTTCGTTTTGATTCCGATTTCGAGCGAAGAATCGCTCCGTCTCGAATCTCAACGACTTTGCCGCGATTTCATCTCGTTCTTGCGTCGTCTTCGGTCCTTATCCATCGGTTCCGTTGTTCTCGTTTCCCTGATCCTTCTGTGCGTTCTTTACCTCTTTCCGTTCAAAGTCGTTCAGCGGCTGCCGCCGCCGCCGCCGCCGCGTAATTGGAGTTGGAGCAGAAGACGACTCCGCATTAGCTCACTGTGGCGCGAGGGCAATTCTAGAGCAGAAGCATCCACGGAATCAGCATCCTGTGACATTGGAGAAATCTCTTCGGACCTCGCTGCCCGAGCTTGGACTCCTCCACAAGCCGACTCTTATGAGACCGACTCACGTGATCTCGTTTGCTTTCTCCGGAGTAGTCGGGTCGTTCATCGATCTCGAGTCACGGTTTGCAGAGCAACAAAAAAGCTTTCCCGGAAGAACTTGTCATCCAGGAGCTAGAGCTAGAGCTAGAGTCTGAAGCACACGAAGCAACACCGTCGACGCTTTGGCATATACCACGGCTGCCAGAGCTCGCTTGAAGAGTCGAAAGTAATTTTTTTTAATGTATTGGATTATTTCTCTCACCACTTATTTTGATTCGGATGAAAAACGCTCGGTAGCCGCTACAGCGCCTCTCACACGATTACAGAAGAGCAATTCCCCGACTAATTCATTAGGCCTAATTCGAAGGAGTCAGGAGGATTCGGAGCCCCTCGCGACCCCTGAAGCCTGCTGGGGAGCAAGCGAGCTCGGACCAACGGGGAGCTCGTCAGCCTTCAGTGTTTCAAGCAAATTCCAACAGGAAGGAGATTTCGAACGACTTCGAATCGCGGCCCCGGCATGAGGTACGACACCATTCGATGACAAAGCTTGTCTTCCATATATATAACGCTCCCAGCGGGGTTTATCGCGTCCGAGGACAATTAATCGCCTCGCTAAGGACGGGAGCACCAAGATTGCCGTAGATCGAAGCACGGGATGCCACTTGAGCGGGTGAATTGCGGACAACCGAAAATTTATCGGATAAACATGAGCATGAGCGCGAGCCCATTTGCTCCGAACCGCTGCAGATCGTTCTTACTCTCTAAATTCTCGGTATATACATAATTCGTGTGCGGAGACCTCGCCCGGTGGGCTCCGAGGCGCATATCCATTTTCCTTTGTTCCCGCACGTTGGGCGCTGTGTGTATGTGAAGGTTCGCCGGTCGACCTCATTCGTTGTTTTTCCTCCGATTAATAATTAGTTCTGCAGTGTACGCGGATCCTTCCGTGAAGACGGGGCGTAGGTTACCTCGGTGTTCCCGAACTCCGAGTATCGAGGCAAAAGTTTTCTGAGCGCTCCTTTTCGACTTCTCCTGGGACCGAGTCACACCTTCTGCTAAGCAGATTCTCCACAGGAGAAAATATTCTCTCCCTCCCAGAACTCGGGGCAGAAATCATACTTTTTACCCCCAGCACCTTCGTAGGGAGCTCGATTCGCCGACCTCCAGCCGGTGTTATTTCGTGCGGGCCGTCAATGGATAATCCATTGGAGAAAGAGTCGAATCAGCTCTCCTTCCTGAATGAGCTTCTGTTCGTGCATGAAGAACGATATACGAGCCCGAATTGAATGCGAATATATAACCATAATAAGAATAATACAATATATGATGGTAATGACAGAGAATAATCGGAAGGCTCCATGGAGCCCTTGCAGATAAACAGTTCTTCTGCAGAAAAAGCAGCAGTTAGGACCCCAGTGTTCTCCATGGAGGTCACTTGGCGCTATTCCAAGATTTCAGCGCTCATTGGACGAAATCATTCCAGGAAAATGCTGGCCTCGGAATCGAATCCGAGGCTAAACGGATCGAGCTGCCGCAAACGGAAAGAGAGCTCTGGATGGACATCACGCCGCAGGGCTGTCAGATCAAAAATCTCTTGCCGTCTCGGGGCCGTCGAGCCATGAGATGTGTCCATCCAAAATCACCCGTCTGAGGCAGGGAGCCCGCGAACCGCCAAGCCATTCCTCGTCTTCCCTACTCAGGATATGGCGTCCGAAGACCTCTGATGTCCCTGACCTGGACCCCAACAGAAATGGGCCTGCAATCGTTCCGAGAGACATGTTCTCTTCCCTGAAAAATCCATCCCTGAGAAACTGGCTGTTGGTCCTAGCTGTTGCATTATTGTCAGCTTCTTTTTCGTTTCCCTCTGGCTGTTTTTGTACCTGCGTCGAATGGACGCTACATCGGCGAGCGTCTTGGTGTCTCTCAAAGTGATTCGGAGCGGATTAGATTAAGCTGAGCTTCGTTTAAGGTAGGATTTAGAATGGAAGTCACACGCGAGGAGCGCCCTTTGACGTCGAAGTGCTCAGCCGTTGGAGGTTCAATCCGTCCGATCGAGGAAGTGCATTGTCAGGGAGCAATCAAAAGAGTTCTCCCGATCGAATTACTACTCCAGGAATAGATGGACGCAGGCACGAACTCGATAGAGTGGGCAAGCGTGTGGGAGCACGCCGAGTTATTGGTGGGCATGAGAAAATTCGCTTCCCAATTAGGACTAGAACAGACGGCGATTACCGGAATCGATGCATTTCCCCAGCACGTCAATCGGGAAGATCATATCAAGGTTCCGGATTCGTTGCGGGACCCCTCGTAGCCGATTGCCTTGACATTCCTCATAGATTCCAGGGGAGGTTTCTTCCCGCCGACCAGAAGCCCATACTGACGCGCTTCACTACAACCGTTTATAACGCAGCTGTCGATCCGCCGCGACTTCTCCGCGGGGGAGCGGCGCAGTTAACTCGTCGCTCCTCGAGTCCAGCCTTTCGTATTTCGGTACGACCGACATCCATTCGTTCTTTCCGGCCATTATACGCTGCCTGCCAGCGAGCGGGAAGACGGGTGGGCATCTCCCAAGGGAAGAAAATGCTCTAGCCGTAATGAGACGTGACAATACTGTGTTGCTTCTGCTGTCAAAATACTTCGAGCCGTGGCTCCCCGTCCCGCAACGATGTGGCAAACATTCCCCGCTTTACGCCTGCTTCCCCGCCGAGTCCTCTCGATGTGTATGTACATGGCATGACCATTGATGGCTTGTCGCCGTGCCAGATGCTGCGATGCTCCACGAGCGTGTTAACGACTTCGTTACCACATAGCCGACAACGAGTGCTTCACGTTTACGGCGAGCAACGTTTTCGCCATCTGGAACATCACTTCACCCGCGGCGAATGGGGGAACGAGCGGGCTCACAGGCGGGGAGCGGGCGAGTGAGCGACACGGATGATCACACGTGGGGAATTCTCGAGCGTGCGAGCCCGCGAACGACTGATGACACGCTCAGGTGTCATTTCCACGTGAATTTTGACATATCAGAATGTTCATCGAGAGAGCTCGTTGAGACCCCGAGATACCGACATTGAAGCCAATCGTGCGGATCGGAGTCCGTCTCGAGACTGCAGCTCAGTTCCTACGAATATATCGTCTCATTATAGATTCCCGGCGAACCGGGACGGATGTCGAACTATCAGGCTCAACAGCCTGAAATGTTCGAAGTAGGACCTCGTTATGACGAACTCCTACACGGACTGGTCGGAATGGGGCGTGTTGTCCGAAGTCAGTTGTGTCCGAACATGGGCTCCGAGACGGGACGGAACGTGAGAATCGTCGGAAGCATCGCTGCAGCCTTTCTCACTTAGCGTATGTGTGCGAAAAACCTTGGAATCGTTCAATGGTTTATCGCCTCTGGCCTTCTGACTCACGACGAGGGAGGCTTTTCCGTGCAAATTTAACGCGTGGAGAGGGAAGGAGGGCGGACGGGGAAAAACGTCTGTACTCCCCTCTCGTTCTTGATTCTTCCTGACATTCCGCTTACAATTAATTAGGTTCGATTGCTCTTTTGCGGGAGGCCGATTCGCTGAGCGAACTCACGGGGTTTCCGCACATACCCCGGAGCAGCTCGAGGGACCTTCGGTGGAGGTCTCGAGGTGCGGTGAGAACAATAAAAATGATAATAATCCTCACGCGTCGATTGGAACTTCATAACTCCAACACATCTGGAACATTGCACCCCGCGATGGAGGGATCGGAGGCCCCATCCATTGAAACATATTGAAACTTCAAAATTGGATCCCATAGCTCGTTCCATAGGAGCCTTCCCTGTTCAATGCTGCCGACGCTTTGTTCGAGATGCGACTTTGTTGTCGCTACGAACTCCGCAACAAATGCTAATGCGCGCCTCCGAGCTAGCTCGGGGCGAAAGTCGCGAATTCGTTGCGAGCCTCTCACCTGAAACTTATCCAGCAGAGACATGACCAATGCGATTCCGGTGAAGACGAGACCCAAAAACACCGACACGACGAACAACGAGACCGGCGGTGTGAGAGACAGCCAGAAGTGCGCCGATCCTTTGAAAGCTCTTCCCGGAGAGCATTCCGCCATAATACAATCCAGACTCTGTAATCGGAGGAAAATCAAAATGAGATGAGCTACTGCGACTTCCGCTCGGGAGACGAATCTTTTCCACCCGGGTTCACACGGGACCCTTTCAGTCGGCTATTCTCAATGGGATACCTGCGCCGCGCCGTTTCCCATGCGACGAACATTTAAAGAGGAACAGTTGTCGGCGGCAGAGCGTCGCAGTTCGTTTTTTTTCTCTTTTTTTTTTATAGTGGGAGTTGGGACGAGTCTCGAAGCCTGGAGACTCCTGCCTGCCAGAGCAAGCCTTGAGAGGTCGAGTCGAGGAGCTCACCGTCGTTCTCGGAGCGTCGTCTTCTGCCGTAAAATCGAAATGATAGTGGGTATGCTTGCGCACGTCGTGAGTGCATGCGACCATGAACAGGAGGCAGATGGTACCGATGACTCGGGAGCAGTTGACCAATGCGTAGAACATTCGAAAGAATCGACGTTCCACGCCCGACCTGGAGCTTTCGGTGAGTGTTGCGACCCTGTCAATGAATAAAGAATGTGTTTGCTTTTCTTCTTATTCGGCCGTGCATACGAGATGCTCGCGAGAACGACTCGGTGCGCAGCTTCGCTACCGATCGGCGCCGCGGCGCCGGCGGGAGGGAATCACAGCGAAGGGCTGACTGAGAAAATGGAAAGCGGAAAAAAACTCATTTCTTCCCTCAGAGGAAACCTGCAACACCGCGGGCATCCCGGGAATCCTGGGGATCCAGACCGCGGTCCACGTTCACGTTATTGCCGTCTCTGATGCATTCGCTGTTGATCGTCATGATGATACCATCGTCCGCGTCAGGCAAACGTCCTTGACTCACAAAGTGGACTATTGTCAAAGAAATTACTCGGGCGTGGCCGAACTTGTATACGCACAGAGACACTCGTGCACACGCAACTCCAAAGCGTACGGTGAGCGGAGTTGTCACACGCATTCCTCCAATCGAAGCACGCCTGCGACGCGACGTTGATATCCGCCCTAGAGCCGATCCGAGTGAACACGCGCAGGCCTCAGGGAGCGTCATGGAGGCTAAAAACTGGCCCCACGTGCGGCTCAAGGGACGACACGAGTCCTGCGAGCAGGTGACGTAAACTCCTTCTCAAGCTCCGATCGATCGCGAATTTATCCGCAAGACATTCACTCCCCCTCGTCGTTGGATACCCAGTGATCGGCGGTATACGGATCGAAACTCACCGTCCGACGAGATGCATCAGGAAAGAAGTTTGCGCTGAGAACAACGGACCGAGAGTAGAGCCGGCCAGAAGCGCCGAAGGGTATAGGGTAAAGTGCTTCGGGTAAAAGAACGTTGACACGTATACAGCCAGCGAAACGAACGATACCACGATAGCCCACGATGGAGATAAGTGCTGGACAAAGGCTGGCGCGTACCAGCACGACACGGTGCCCATCCCGTACAGCAGGGCTAGACTGCGGATACCTGCGGGAAAAAAAGGGAGGATGTGAGACAAGTCGATCAAGTTCGCCTCTAGCGGTATCTGCATGCGTTGAACCTACAGTCCGCTGACGATCAAACATTCGCTCTGACACACGAGACCACAGCAAGGAGGTGCCTACATCGGGGAAGCTGTCCGAGATCGGAGAGAAACCGCGAAGTCACCCGGACTGGCCGGAAAGCAGCCGCGTTTCGACTGGAGATGTAAGCTGCCCGCTTGGCCTCCTGTGAACCCATTCCTCATGTGGGGTCTCTAGATGCCATTTATCCACCGGGATGACACTTCGGTCTCCGAGGGAGTTCCCCGCTCGCCGAGTCTAACGTATTGCCTCAACTTTTCTTCCTTCGTCCCTCCGTCGCCCCTCCCCACCGGGCTCACCAGTCGCATCACAAGGATAAGCAAGACTGACCGACCAACTGACTGACTGACAAGAGGAGATGGTCATCAGAGGGAGCATGACCTAAGGAGGCCTAGTGCAGCTGCTCTACCTCGAGGATCAGGATCTTCAGCCGTCGCACGGGGGATCGTCGAAGTTCGGACGCGATGCATGGACGCAGGCGGAAGTCCATAGAACATCATGAGGTGAATCGGTATGACTCGGCGAGCGAGCGATGCAATACCAAAGGAAGCTACTCGAGAATCGCTCTCGGGCCAAGGACACGGATTCTCGCGGATTTGGCGGAATTTAGGCCAAGCATTCCTGGTGCCATCGCTCCAATTTCAGGCAAGTCGACGAGGTGGCCGCGTTTTTATAGACGCTCGGCCCATTGTGGTCCGCTCATAGGCCGGTTCTCTTCAACGGACACGTGCGAACTTGTTCTCCACGGCCAGCTGAACATCGCGCGATGTCATCAGCGTCAGAGACAGATAGTGATCATACGCGATCCTATTGGTGATGAAGACATCGACGACCCAGCGGCGGCGATGATGTTGATGTCAGCACCGCCTGGGCCGAGCAGCAACATTGTTCCCGTTCGCGGATGGCTTTGGCGCGAATCAGCGGCACGAGACGCTCTTCCGGAGCGGGAATTCTTCGGAATGTTGCAGAATCGCAAAGAGAAACTCTTCGAAATCCGTGGTCTGGAAACCGAGGCGGATGGGTGCGGAGTTCCCGGAGTGGTCGATGATGGACGGAGTAGAAAATAGTAAATTTTTGTTGGGACGCTACCAGTAACCTCGGCAATGAAAAACAAAAGGAATCCGCGCAGACGACCGAGTCCCAAAATGAGGAAAAACGGACGGATCAGGGGTATAAAGTTCCGCCAGCTGTAAAAGGCGCTCTAAACGCTACCTGAAAGTTCTTTATACGCCTCCAATGTTTTCTGTTTTGGGGTTCCTGTCAGAGCTGCTCCTTCTACTGGATATCTCCGCTTTCGATCGATTTCGATAACTCTGGGACAATCGTGAGACAATGAGAGAGAAACGAAGACAGTGAAGGAGAATACATGCTCTCCCCATCGGACCATGTTCAGGATTCCAGCCGAAAGGATTACTCGATTCGTGATATTGGCTCGTGCTCATTTTTTTCCCGGCGAATGCCCATCGTTACCGAGTTCAGCCGTCCGACGACACGTAAAATGCTTTCCGCGGGATTTGCATAGATGCCGTACTCTCCTGGAAGCGCTGACTTACCGAGCCCGCTCTCGATGAAAAGCGACGTCTGAATGTAGTGCAAACAGTAGAAAGGGGCGAATACACACGTAAAAGCGAGCCCTAGAAGCAGAACGCTCTTCAGGATGACACGTTCGATATATATTGGGTTGAGTTTGCGCGACGCATTACTTTTTTCCACCGACACACTGCTCGTCCTCGATGTTCCCTGAAACCGAATGAGAAAATGCTTGAGTAAAATGTCGGTTATCGGGTCAATTCACTTAATTCCTAACCACACCACAATTCTCGAATTCTTGCTCCAGACTGTCATCTCCGAAATGTGTCGAGGCTAGGCTGCACGACGAGCTTTCACTTCCGAGGTCAATCCCGGTCGACGGCTTCATTTATGAGAAGCTTCATCACCGAGAGGGATTCCGTTGGACGGGCTTCGAAGTCGCGGTAAATGCAATCGACCTCCAGTCCCCTCTACTCCGCTCGTCCCGACTTGGGCGTCTGCGTTGTGTTGTCGAGTTTTGTTCGTTCCGGCATATCCACTCGGATCTCGCGTGCATTATAATGATATTATACGATTATCGGTACGAGCGTCGAATGAATCTCTGTCGTCCCCTTTCGAACCGGAGCTCAACAGACGATGTCCCCGCTCACTTCACACGTAGAGTCTTTGTCGTCGTCGTCGTTCGTTCGCCGTCTTTCCCTCCGTCAGGTTGAGTCGCTTGACGTTGAACAGACCGCTCGCCCGCTCACTCACCGAACGCTGCTAATTGTGTTGAGCGACCCGATGGCATCTGTGAGAGCTCCATTGTGGAGCGCTTAGCGGATCCGCTGGCTGGTGGATCGTCGTTCACCCGCGGGTCGTCTTGCCGCCCTTAAGTTGCCGAGGGCCCTATCTAGAGCCGTCTCGTCTGTAGGAAACCTCTGTGTACGCAGTGCCTACACACGATACAACATTTTGGAGCTGTCAGAAAGGCATTATGCACGGCTCCACACTCGGGAGCTTCTCTCATGTTTACTGAGAGCAGCGACGATGCAGAGCAAGCCAGAAGCAAAGCAAGAACGTTCGAGGTCGCGGAGCTGTTGCCCAAAAGAGCCGGGAGCGCAGAGCAATTTTCGCGAGGCGAAAATCCGGCCATTACGTCGGTCTGTCATTTGGTCGGATGTCCGCTCGCATTTATGATGCGCGAGAAGCCAACGAAGAAATAGAGGGAATGACGTCTAGCATGGGAAACAAGTCGACTGAATTACTTTCTCTTCCCCTCTGCCTCTCTCTCTCTCTATTTATCCTCTCGCTCATTTTTCCTCTCCGAGCGTATGGAATCGCATCGGAATTTCCTGTCGGAACGGGTCCTAATTTTCCACAGGGCTCGATCGCTTCCATGATTCGGAGTTCCTTCCATATTTTGAGGTTTCTTTCGACCGTATTGCCCGGTTCAGAGAACCGTGAAGTCAACCATATGCGACAGCTGATCGGGCTCATAGTCTCTGGCCCCACGATCAGTGATGGTTTTGCCGCTCTAGACAAGTGATAGATAGTTGAGAAACTAGATGTGGTCTGCTCGGCTGGGCAGGAGATACCAAACATTGTTCAGTGATGATAAACTTCCTCCTGAGTGTATAATCTTTGAGGGTCGCGTGCTCGCCCATGCCTCATTACACGTTCCACCCGTGCCCCGGACGGCGGCAGCGGCGCTAAATTTCATTTCTTTTCGTCGCACTTTCCTCCTTTCTCTTTGCTCGCTTTCCCTTGTGCTCCTATGCTGGAGCTCCACGCCGACATGCCGTGCCAGACAACGTTACGTGGCTCGCCGGCTAGTGAATGAGGCGACGAGCACGTCAAGCCGCCCGATTGCGTCAACTTATTATGCTCTGTGAAGACCTACTCGAGAGCAGACGAATCTGGCATCGCGCCTTTTTTCCCTCGGCGGGGTGCTCTTGCCTTTTTTGTCTCGGTGGTAGCTCGGTCCTTCATTAGCTCGAACCTCCTTGTCGTTGTCCGTTTCCGGCGTACGCTCCCTCCTTCTCTCTTCGGCGATTCCCCCCGTCTTGGCCTTTCGTTTCCACCGGCTAGCAGCGTCAATCCATTTTTTACCGTCCCACCCCCTGCGCAGCTCCCCTCGTGCCCCCTCTTTCCTCCTCGATCCCGCCAGACCTTTTTTTCCGGATACCTCCCGATGCTTTTTTTGTCTTGCACTTGTACTACTTCTGGACCTCGTCCTCAGAAAGCTCTCATGTTTTCCCAGACTTACGAGGCCTCCCATAAATGTCGTTCGCCCTTCTCACATTGAACATCTGCCTCTTCCAGCCAGAGTCTCCTTACAGCCGTTGCGAGCTCCTGCTCCCCCATCTGGCATGTTTTCCCCTGTCGGGTTCCTTCCCATCTCTCGACTCTTTCCTTTTGCATCCTCACTAACGTCACCTACTCACTGGGATTTCGTCCGAGACGCTGGAGGCCCCCATAGTCGAACACCGATTCGACGCCCCTTTGCCCCTTGAATGTATCGTCTTATATGTATTTCCCCGTCAATGGCCTCCAGAATCCCCAAGATAGCCCCCTGTCGAATCCGCCCTCAAGTCGGAGTTGTTCCTCGTCCCTCGCATTCGGCCAGAGCGGAGCTTCCCTCGAATTCTCTGTGTTTTTATCGGCCCGCTCCGCGTTCCGAACACAAACGAATTGGCTCGAAATCCCCGAGCAACGGGATCACAAACACAGTTTTCATCCAATTTCCTTCTCCCGTCTGCTTCGTAAATATCCCGCCTGAGGTGGACGCCCGCGGCGGGACAGACGCCTCGAGGCTGCCGACAGGAGCGGTGCTTTTCCCCACGTTGCATGCTGTCACAAAGCCGGGGCCGAGTCTCCCAAGCGGCAAGAGGCAGATTGCCATCTCAACCCATAATCACAGGGAGTCTTCGGAGACATGGGAACACGCCGCCACCGCCGAATCCGCCAGCAGAGTCGTCGATGCCGCCTCTTGCACAACGAAGTGAGCCGATGGATATGTGTCGCTTGAATACGATCGTTGCGTTTTTCTGTCACGAAAATAAGAGGGAGCCGATGATCCGCGCGGCAGCCGATGATGATTTGGACGGCGGACTAGGATTTCGTTCGAGGTTTGCACTGAACAGGAGAATTGCTTTCCTCTTTCGAGTCCTTTTGTCGTCGCCCCCCGAAGCCCCGTCTCGCTGCAGGCGCTCTTCCAGGAACACTTTGGGAGCACCACTTTGTTGATCGGCTTCACACGCTTACGCCGGACAGAAAAAGTAATGAATGGACGATTGATTAAGCCTCGATGAGCGTCGTCGATTTTTTGCAATGTTCAACAACCGTGCAACTCGGCGCGTGGGAGGTGCATTAAACATTGATTCCGGATGAGATGGACAGGAAGGATTGGAGAGAGAAAACGACGCGCCGGAGGGCCCGAGGACAAGACGCCGCCCGTTGATTGTCTAACCCTTTTATGTGATCACAGGCCGCCCGACTCAGTGATTGGGTGCATACCGAAAGTGTCCCTAGTTAAGTATTGATCCCGCCGTCGGCGTGACAAGTTCCTTCCAACGCTTATGTGCGCTAGCCGCATGCAAAATTCATTACCAACTTGCGAAGTTCGTTGAATTTTACACCGCATTCGTGTTCACACAGAGGCGCCCGGCGAATTTCAAAATAGATGAAGACCTAAATGTTGTATGTACTTGCCTAACGTTGCGGAAAATCCGGTTATCTATTCTCGTGGTGGGGGATTTCCGAAGGAAAACACACCATTTTTCAAGGGGCTTCGAGAAGCCGCTACAACAAATGAACCAAGTTGCCAACCGACCAACCAAACGCGGGGCGGGAAGACGGTCCGCACGCCAGGCTTCTTTTCGCCTTGTGCGACTCATTTGCGGCTTTCATTTTTTATGAGAAGGACCTTCTGTGGTCTCCTCGACGGTCTGGCCTCGTCCCCCGCACGGAAGCTCGAGAGCAGCACGATCGGAGAGAAAACTCCGAGAAACAAGGTTCGAGAGCGTCAGTTGAGAGCGAGAACCGGAGTGGGGGTGCAGGCGAGCGGGGGGGGGGGGTTGCCGATGTAGACCCAGAGCGTACTATGCGCCGCCCGAACTGGATCTGAATCCTATAAGTATGTGGTGGTCATCCCGTATGTGTCAATTTGCATACGCTCCCTCGTCGGGAGCAATATGGAGTATTCCCTGTACGGACTGACTTATATTCCTTTTCGCTCCAGGCCAGGGAGATTCGTCTCGATCCGCTCCGCAGACTCAGTCGAGCACGAGGACGTCGCGTGGCGGCAGGCTCTACAATTAGTCGACGAGTTGAGTTCGCTGGGCAGCGAATAAGATTCGCCGCCTCGTTCATCCCCCAACGTGTCGCGGAGCGGAGGCGCTACGTCCCCGGTCTATTGCATATGAGATTTCCTCTTTCTCTCGTTAGCCGTTCAACAGCTGATCCGGTAGCAGATGTCGGGCTTCGAACATCAGCCGAGTGGACAGTGGCTGCGACCAATCTCCGATCGGGCCAACAGCGATGGTCTTGCGCAAGTCGTCCGCTTCTAAGCCGCTTCGACCTTTGTGGATGTGGAAATATTTTCCTCTGCTCTCCAGTTACGCCGGAGCGGAGAATGGATCGGACATGAGGGGCCGGAATAGCAGCTAGCTACACAAAACCGACGCATGCAGGCGACCGACCGACCAAGCGAGCAAGCAAGCAGCCAGGCGTCCGGGCTTTTGTTGCCGCAAGTGGTTGAATGCTTTCGTTCGGCTAAGGCTTCCCATATGTTTCCAGAGACTGCGGAAAGAACGTTTCTCGCGGATTGCCTCATGCGCATAGTGGGGCATGCGTGCTCCTTGGTGCGCCGGTTTGTTTGTTTGTATATGGGTCTGTCTGTCCGTCTGTCTGTCAGTCAGTCCGCCTGCCCGTCTGTTCCGACAACAAGAAAAACGCATTGTTCCCACTCACCGGCATCGAACACTGAGCTGAATCGATGTAGTTCCTGCACGGCGGAACTTCAAAATTCCTCTGTTCGTAGGAGTAGTCGGTGGCTTGGTATCGCTGCGGCTGGTGTGCCCCGCAATACTGGAGCAGTTGCTGCTCGTCGGACGTCATTTCTGCAAAGCGAAACCTGTTAATATACACGTATGGTGCTCCGAGCTCCTCTTTCAATGCGCGACGTAGCGTGGAAAGAGCTGTGACTATTAGTCTTCGCACCGAGCCCCGTCGAACGCTGGCTCACGCCGATCTCTTCCCTACATTGTGGGCTCGGAGCCGGGATGCTCCCCGGCCCGATCGAAGGCCCAGGTTCGAAGCTCGTCTCGATTCAGTCTCTTCCCGCCTGCGTTCTGCCCTTCTATGCTTGTGAAAAAGGCCCTGTCCCTCTTTTTGCACCGTCGTCGGCGAAAAGAACGCAACTTTTTCGTGAGTATCATTCGCGCAGCTCGTTTTCATGCTAATCTACCGGCTGTGCGATGAATGAGCTCGGAGAAAATGTTTCTGCTTCAGCAGAGTTTCACTTGTTGCCGTTGGGGTCTTCTGCGAATAGATTGGCGAGCAGCGAAGAGCAGATTTTGCCGAAGCTGGATATTAGGCCGGGAATTTCCCGGTGGTGTCGGTGGAACAAGGAGCCACGAGCCGGTGGGCGCCGACCTGCGTCAGCTGTGTCCCTAATCAAATATAAACGAAACGAACAACCGGTGAACGAGCCCTTGATAGGAGAAGGCGATCATCGATAGTCCACAAAGCTAGCAAATTATTATCGTTCGGGAGCGGAACGCGATCGCCGTCGACCGAGTCTCTTACGCACTCATTCGCTTGCAATCGTTCCTCCGAATCGCGATCCAGCAACCGCGAGCAGTACACGGTTAAGACGAGGCACAGAGTCCTTTGTCGCCTATCCCGCGCGCAGGGTCGCGAGTGGGTCCTCCGTGAAATCGGAAACGCAAAACAGCCCCCGCGATCGTGAGAATGGCAGCCGAGCTGGAAATCGTCGTCAGATTCGCCGCCATTTCCGACGTCGACTTCATTGTCTTTCATTTGACCGTTGCAACTTTCGTTGCCGCTCCAATCGCGACTTATGCTTGTAATGGCAAACCCAGTTCCATTACGAAGACGCCAGACGCCCAATCCTGAATCCGTATCCTCGTTTCCGCCCGGGATTTGGCGAGTCGGCGAAGACCCGGAAGAAGACTCGCTTCATCTGGGAGAGACTCGGGGAAAGTCACATTCGACTGACTGAGTAGCTGGCAACTGACTGACTGACTGAGTAGCTGGCAACTGACTGACTGATTGTGAAGGCAAATTAAGTCTCTGGGAAGATGTATTGCGCAACTCGGTCTTGAGTAAGACGAAATCGGGCCTACGACCTGAGCAGAGGATTTCGTAGAGCGATGGGGGATCCGGGATACGACTGACCGCGTAGGTCCGATGGGGCACCGACAAGGTGGCGGTGCAGAATTACGCAACAGAGCTTCCTTCCGGAGCTCGTTGTAAGAGAGAAATTCTGCAGAATAAGTCGATCCGATCATCGAGCGCGCGCGGGTGGGTGTGAGCGATCGATCGACCCTTGTCGACGTTGTCACTTTTTTCCATCGCTCCGGAGTCCTGACATCGCGCGGGAGGGGAGGGTCGAGTAATCCACTGTTTACTCTTGAACTCGGACCCTGGCCCGCGGAGCTCGGATGAATCCTCCCTGTCCTGCCGCGCTCGAGTCACTGACTAACTGAGTCATTCATCACAGGCAATCCCAGCCATTGAACGCCGGCGGATCTCCGGGTTATTTATTACAGCGGCTCTCACCTTACGTCGTTCCGGAGCAAGGTTGAAGCTACGGGAAACCCCGAGTCGGAGAAACAACGGAGCTAGATGGGCCGACGAGTGAGGAAGATACCCGACGAACGAGGAGCACTGGCAGGGGCAAAGAACGCGTTCCTCACACCATTACGGACGGATTTTTCGCGATAAGGCTCAATCACGAATTCACGACAACAAGGTCATCATCCGCGTATCTGAATGCATTCGAGTACGAGGATCTTCGCTCGAAATTTTGTTCCGACTCCGATCGGGAGGAACGCGCTGCGCAGGTGCGCAGGAAATGGGAACTCTGCGGACAGTGTTCAAGTCTTCGAAATGTGAAATTGTCAGTCCATCCTTTCGAGTCAGCGCCGGACGAGTGACGTCGGATATTACTGATGGTGAGTTATATCCGTCTCTCGAGACTTCCTGTTTTTGTTTCCCTGGACTGAAATAGGCCTTCTTGTGCAATCTCGCTGGTCACCCGAATCGTGCACCGAATCGAGGATATCGCCCAGTGGACTCGAAAAGCGCTCTTTATTCGTCGCCTTCGGCAGGATATTTGACCTATTCATATTTCGCGAGACCTTTGCGGAGACTCCCAACTATGGTTCCGAAGAATTTATGCCCAATCTATGTGAGAGAGTTCTTCAAACGGCTCCTCCATCCAGGGGATCCGGTTCGAGATTAGCGGAATATCACACGAGAATTCTCGGAGGAACGACTCCGTAGTCCGTTGATCTGCGAGCGAGCGAGCACCCACCCCGATCCAGCCTCGGACCGGGATGTGTGCAATCAACAGATTAAGCCTTTAGTATGCCGTCAAGTTCAATAGAATCGAATTTCAAATCGCTTCCGTGCTGCACAATGCTGCTCTGTGACCGTCGGATTTTGAATGGAATATTCTGAATCCATTGTGAGAGGGACCTAGCCAATGGAGCCGGGGCGGCAAGCACGTGCCGCTCCTGCAACCATTGAATCAAGGACAACTCATGAGCCGCCAACTTCGGAGGCTCCGGATCCAGCAGACTCCTGGCCACCCGATTGGGTGGGATCCTCCCGGAATCGCTGGGTATCGAAATCTTTCGTGCAACTGGTTACCGGACTCGCACCACCGATCTGAAAGATCTCCAATCGAGCCTATAACTTGTTCCAATGCTGGAAAAGCAGCAGAGACTCGTGACTGACACGGTTTATGGTCTTCGGTGATAATTTTTTCCATGCTACAAGTCTGCGCTCCCTCTTCTCCTCCATCGCTGTCTTTCTTTTCCCTCTCCTCTGCTTTCCGTTTCCCCTTGACAGCCAAAATGAAAACCCACACTCACAAAACCCCGTTTGCTATATATTAAATAGAAGCTTTCCAGAATGAGAGGACGACGGGAACAGTCCACCGAGTAGCGGTTGGGCTCCCCCGAGCTCGGACTCGAGTGAGCTTCATTAGAACTCCAACTAGCTTTGCAAAGCGGGAAAAAAGAGAAATAGGAAGACAAAGTCACAGAGCGAATGACAACGACGCATCGGGGAAACGCGGCGGAACCTCCGATGCCGGCTGTGTCCCTTTTGTGTGTATGGTCTGACAAACGGACGGACGGACCGAAAAACAACTGAAGCGCATGATTGGTAACGAGTGAGAGTCGAGTTCGCTCGCCTTTCTCTTGGCTGCTCTATTTGTTCGGTCGTTCGAAACTCAGAAAGCGTAGAAATCGAGTGGGCGAAGGAACGGCAGTCTCTTCATTGAATGTCAGAAAGGAATTTCGATAATTGTTTGCAGCGAGCGAGCTCGCGATTCAGCGAGCGAGCGAACTCAACTATGTCAATTTGGAGTCGTCCAGCAACGACAGCACTTTGCTGCCTCCTTCCGTCCACGTTCCGTCCCTCCAGCAGCGACCGGGACGACGTTCCCGAGCGGCTTCTGGAACGATACGAGTATCTGGTCCGCTGTGGCTACCCGTCGTCGGCGTCGTCGTCGTACGAGTCCATTGTGCCGCGCGGATAGTACGCGCTCGCGCGGTGGAGCGATGTCACGACCAGCGACAAACTTCGAGAGTTGTTTCTCGCGGAGCGGCATATCCGTCGAATCGGGGATCCGCCCGCGGTCGACCACTACGCGATATATTCTACGATATAGGAAACGGCAACGGGGGCCTTCCATTCACGGCCAAAGGCATGCTGACTTGGCGCACCTGAAGGACCCGCAAGCCCTTGGCAGCGAAGACTTATGGCTTTTCGATAGCATGATAGCAGCCAGCAGGGCAGTCATCTAGTCTGACGCCAGTTCGGCGAACCGAGTCACAATGGCATGTGAAGGAAAACAGCGATTCTTTCCGGCTCGGAACGCAAGGAACAGAAATATCGCTACGGTCCGAACGATATTTCACGCGGGGTCCGACGACGGAAAACAACTGGCAGAGTTGGAAGTCTGAAACATTCGATCGTGAAGTTGATTTCCTCCCGTCCTCCTTACCCCGCCCTCCACCTCGCTCGGTGCTCCCGCTCCCGACGCGTCGAGGGGCGCGTCATCGATCGTGAGGGACGCGAAGTTTGGAACCAGCACGAGGTCGTGTCTCCTCGGCCGACATATCCAGCGCCCGGAATACTCGGGGATCTAATCCACGTTCGGGATCAGAGAGCATGTGAGAAGAGCACGGCATATAGCCGCCAGAGAGAGGTAAACACGGGATTCCGAGCCCCGGGCGTCGGCGGGGGCCGGGCTCTGAGCCGTATTCCGAACAGGGGTCACCTTATCCCGAATGAAACGAACCATATTTCAGAGGAAAGAAGCTGGGCGAGAAACGCTTAAGGGTGACTGCAGCAGGAAGGCGTTGTCGAGCCCAAGCTGCATTATTAATGTGAGTCTTTAGCTGGCTATTTTCTCGCTCATGGAGGCGTTTTCGCTCGTTTATGCTCCATCTACGGCTGATTACGGAGGCTCCAATCCCGGCTCTGAGGGATGTCGTCGTGTCGCACGTGTACTGAGTGGGTCTTGAGAACACCTCCTAGCTCTCGGGGTGATGGGCTGGCCGAGTCCCATCTGAGGCTTCACGATTCATTTGATTTCTCCTTTGTCTATGGAATGAGCAAACGTTTTGATAATAATGGTCTCACGTTGGCCGCTAGTTGGCGGACAGGCCCCCGATCGCGTTTTCATCGTAGGCGTTGAGTGTAGGGCGCTCATAGGCAAGCGTCGTGGCGGTCTTTTACTCCGCACATAAAAGGGAACGAGCCCATGAACCGAGCTCGGCTCCGTGCCCAATACGGCGAGGCACCGTCATACATGGTGCTCGGAGTGGATCGGAATCGGTTTCCAGTTCATGGGCTAT